CCGTCCCTTCCCCCCCCCACACGCTCGGTTGTTCTTTCCCGCCTTCCTTCCTTTCCCCCCCCCCTCCGGATATGTACCTTAAAGGTAGCGTTCCGAAAGCAAGAAACTCGCCGCTCGTCCGGCGCTGGCGAGGGGGGAGGAGGAAAAATCCCCCCCAACCGGACACAACAAAAGCACCGGCGGCTGCAAGCGGCGCGGCTTCTGGTCGCCCGGCACGCGACTCGCTCGCCCTGCGGTGTGGGGCTCGGCTTCGCTCCGCCAGGAAGCCCGCCTCCCGGCTCGCCTGCCCGGGGCTCGCAAACGCCTCCCCTCAGCCGGAGCGCCTCAGTTACCCCCCGCGCACGCGCGCGCGCAACCACCAACCGCCCTTCCTCCGTCCACGGCCCCGCTGGGTCAACCGCAAGTAGGTTAAACTTCAGCCTTTATTTTTATAGGCATGTAGGGAGCGATGCAAACGAAGGGGCGTGGCCCCCGAGTCCCCGCCCCCTCCGGACTCTGATTGGTGCCCTCCTCCCAATAGGGGCTCGGCCTGCCTCTCTCTCTCTATTTTGGGCCTCTCACCTTCCAGCCAGGCAGTCAAGAGGCGGCTGAGGGGAAGCGCCGGGGCCCCGCCCCCCTGTTTTTGTTTCGTCTCCCAAGAAGGAGGGCTTGTAACACAATGGCGGGAGTTTGCTGCATATCCGGGCAGAGAAGGAGAAGGAGAACAGCCTCATGGGCTGCTTCCATTTCTTCATTCTTCCCTCCCCGCACCCCAAGTTGTTTAGTCAAAATTCCCCCGTGGTCCTCATGATCCCGCCTCGCGTGTCTTTTGAGCGTGTGAATGCAAAACAAGCCCTACACGCAAGGGGTGTGTGTGGACTCTTTGGTGGAAAAAAAAGGACCGGACGGGGAAGAGCCTTGGCGAGGTGTCTACCGAGGCTCGCTTGCTTGCCAAGGAAGGCAAAAGGCGAGGCGTCTCGTGTATCATTAACTACCCGGCAGCCAAGCAGGAAAGCGCAACCTTACAGCAGACCTGCCTTCTGCTGTGTGCAAAGAATGACACGGGCAGAGGCGGAACATTCAGATTGCAAGGTGGCCTAAGGGTCGCACAATCAAGAGGCCAATTGACGCCGTCGTCTGGCTAACGCCTGATCCCCGAGCATTCCCCGCGTTTCGCTTTGTTTTACTGGGAGAATGGCTAAAACTCGCCCAGCGGGTTTTGGGGACAGGTGCATTCAATACTTTTTTTTTCCTGGCACGTGTGAATTTGCCTACCTCAGTCTAGAACGTGCATGGGGAATATTTAGTTTTCAAATAACATTGATTGCACTTTCCACATCCAGTGTCGGCTGGGGCTTAAAGAATTGTTCACCGCCTCTGGTATAGAAAAATCATCACAGATATTTTCAGGGTTAGTTTCTGTGTTTTCAGCTGCCATTGTAAGAGTACTGCTAGGTATCTCTCCCCCCACCTCGCCATTAATTAACTAACCAGATGTTTCTCAAGAAAGCCAGTGTGCTGTACTGGATTAGAATTAGGGAAACCCATGTTCAGATCCCCCAACAAGCTATGAAACTCACTGGGCAAATTTGGGCCAGACACTATTTCTCATCCTGACCAACATCACAGGGTTGTTGTCAGAATTAAAATGGGGGAGGGGAAGGAACTCTGTATGCTGTCTTGAGCTCTGTGGAAGCAAAACAGGATGAAATGAAATGACGTAGATAATACATTTTAAGGCTTCTGGTATGGTTTGCCCCCCCCCCCAGCTTACTGTGTGCAAAAGTGTACATTGAATTCATACAGTACAAGATCACCCACTGAATTTTATGGCTTATTGAGGATGCATAGGTACGCATCTCTTGACAAGGGCTGTTCCATTTACTTATGCTTACTAATTGCTACTAGACCTGTCCTTAATTAATTTGCCTGTTAATTGCTGTTAAAATCACCTTTAAATCAACATGGATTTGAAAGGAGGGTCAGAATAAAATGCATCATAGTTTGTTTTATTTAAAACAATTGAAATACTTGGATACATTGTAATGAGTGAAAACAACAAAGCCTTCCTTGAGACAGCTGAAATACTCAGTAATGTAGCATGGCTTGCACGGCATGCTATGCATACATACTTGTGAGTTGTATGGATTTGAATAAGCAACAAATTTTATTTGGTGAAAAACAAAGGTTGAAGGTATGCTAAATAAGCAGAACTTTTGCAACATCTGTGGTCAGTGATAACAAGATCAGTTTAGCAATGTTGAGTTAATTAACATCTGTAGTGGGCTAAGAAACCATAGTTTTTATTCAGAGCCAAATAAACAGAAGTCAACTTCTTGACATAGCAGTTTCAGGTTGGAGCTCTTCCACTTTGAAATTGTTTTTATTCAGAGCCAAAGAAGTCAACTTCTTGACATAGCAATTTCAGGTTGGAGCTCTTCCACTTTGAAATGCTTGTTGTTCAAGGATGGCTACTTTAAGATAAGCAGAGGGGCAAAAGTAGAAATGACCTCTATTTCAGTATGAATAGAGACAATGGCTTGTCTCCAATTACAGGAGTGAATAAAAGCCTGTATTCCTAAACTGATGATGGCCAAGCTGATTGTTATAGAGGTTTCCCCTGCTATAGTTTGCAGGCCTCATAGTTTTAATTGAATGGTCATTTGTACTTTTTGCATTTAATTCCTCTCAAGGCTTAGGATCCTTTCCCTTTCAACTGTGCAAGGAAGCAGAATATTTAAAAAAGAAATGGTAGAAAATGGTAAGAGCAGTTAGATTGACTGTGCCCATAGAGTAGGCCCTGGAAGATTTGCTTTGCTGGCACCCCAAAGTACTGTATAAGGAATTGCTGTTTTTTTTAATTCTTTTGATTTATTTTTATTTTTAAACTTTGATAGGTTTATTTTAAGCATGAAATTTCATTTGCTATACGGATATACGTAATTAAGATATCTGATGACGTGGGCTGCAATTTTCAAAAGGATATTCCAAATAAAATTTGTTGGCCTTTAAGAGGCAACAAAGCTGTTTGTTATTTTGCAGCATCAGCTACCACTCCCCCTGAAAATTTCAGTAACGTGATTAGGTATAAAGCATAAAATTCTTTTAATAACAGTAGCAGTGCTCATTGTAATTCATTTGCAGTGTATTTTGATTTTATTTACAATTTCCTGTGATGAAGGAGGATTTTTTTTCAGAAATGCTATGGAAGGTGATTTTGATAATTATATGCAAGCAATCTGAGACCCATGAATCACTCAGCCATTATTTTGGAATGTCAAGGGGACCAAAGGAAAATCCAACAGAAGGGTGATTTCCACCTCAAAAGTTTCCTATTCTTGTTGCATACTGATTTTGATAAGAGCAATAAAAGATCCTGTTCTCTTACCAAACTCAATATAAGTGACTTATCCATCACAGAAAATATTTCCTTTCAGTTCTGCTGGTTGATTTGGATTTCTTTGTAGGATTTCTCTGTTTGAAATCTTCTCGGATCTTTTCAGCTCTGGTAGCACCAGGAAAGTTGACAAAGCAATGAAACAGGTTCAGTTGTGACAAAGTAATGCATATTGGGAAAGATATTCCCCATTTGCTCTGTGAACACAGAAGTTGTTGGCTCCTAATGGCTGGTACCACTTGGAGAATACATCCTGGAGTCATTGTGGATTCACTCACTGAAAACAAACACCAATCCAGTGTAAACAGAAGGTTAGGAATGATTCTGAGTTCACACTGCTGTAGCTTCTAGAGAAGTTGTTTCTGGTACAGTAGTATTATTTCTTCCCCCAGTTAGCCTTTAGTGAATATTGTGGTGCCCAGGCCTCCCCAAGGAGCACTTAGCACTCAGTCAGAGAGTTTGACCGGCCACTTACCTACCACCTTTGCACTGTGGCAAGTCCCAAGACCTCAGCACTGTGTTGTGTGAGCCCCTTGAACAAGTATGACTTTAAAATAACACTTTATGTTTACCTACTACTTTGCAAGTACTGACACATGGGCTTTGCGATTCTTTAGAATACACAACAGCTCAGTTAGGTAGGACTCTTAAAGATAGCTAGTTTGTGGCCCTCTCCACTCCCTGGATTTAGCTAGACCCTGCTGTTCAAGAGACCAGTCCTTTGTAGGAATTTTTAAATTATTTTTATTAGAAAAATAGTTTCATAGAATCAGTTTATATTGCTCAAGCTTTAGCATAAAGAATATATTCAAAGATTATTACAGTTAAATAAAATAACTAATCCCCATTAAAATAAAAAACACTACTACGGTGGGCTAGCCCCAGTTCCTTCTTCCTCTTTACTTACATTCTCTCTCTTTCAAGCCACATGCTCAAATCATCAAGTTCTTTCTCTCTCCCATCATCATGGAATTGAACCACTCCCACATAACCCATTGTCCATTTTCTACATTCTCTAGCTCCTCCCTTCTTCTTGACACTTCATGGCTGTTAACCAATTAGCCTCAAGGGGCTGTAACAGCTTCCTCTGCTCTCAATTCCCATGGAAATCCAGGTGTTTTATCTCTTCTCCAATTAGCTCAGAATGTTGAGTCTTCCAGGGGCCTCTTTGTCCAACCTTCAGCTTTATCTCGAACCATGCTTCAGAAAAACACTCTCATAGCACTTAGAAAAACACATTCCAATGTCTCTTAAATCATTTCCACACAGAACCTGTCTGACTCCATCTTACATTTCTCTGACTACATATCCCACACTGCTTCAACTCCATCACAAGTATAATGTAGTAGAAATGTAAATTTTCAGAAAATTTCTATTTCCCCCCCCATCCCAGAAAAAATGGAAATTTTACATCTTTAGAGATAACTTACCGGTAAATACATGAAGTCTCAGAAGTCTTTCATTAAGGTCTTCATGTTATATAGTTTGAATACCATGTCACAGACATAATATTTATTATTGCAAAAGAACATATTCCAGATTCCTTTTCCCCATTTTTTCCAGAAAAACACACCCTTTTTTTTAAAAAAAGGAAAAACTAGTGTTTCCCCCCAAATTTTTCTGGTTTTTTTTTCCAGGCTTTCCCATACCTAGTAGTAGCTGAGAGGTTGGAAAAGTTATTTTTTAATGACAAGCCCCATAGTCCCCCACTGACCATGCTAACTGCAGAATTCTGGGCGTTATAATCTAAAAAACAAAACAAAAAAAACCACTAAGACTTTATTACTCTGGATTAGAGCAGGGGCAAAGAACCTTGTACTTTCCAGATGCTTTGCATTGTAACTTTAAAACTCTGTCACATTAAAATTTATTACATTAAAAAGTTTATATACCATTATATCACATGTATGGCCAGTTTCTGTTTTTTTCAGCTGCTGTTTTAAGAGTTTGTTGGATCATACCAAAAAGCCATCCAGGCTGTATATTCTTTTTTCCTACCTT